AAAAAAAAAAAAAAAAAAGCACTATTCAGCCACATGGGCCGCAAGTCTGCTCATGAACAGTTTTTTTTTTTCCCAGCTCATTTGATTTCACACACCAAAGCTTATGAACAGTTCATCTGTCTGATGATTCCATCAGGGTTGAACTCAGTTCATCTGCCCCCCGACATTTCGGACCTCGCCGCGTGGCATAGGCAACGGGAAAGAAAATGAATGCACCTTTTGCCTGAAGATGGCAAGATACATAACGTGTCTATTTATAGTAATGGACGTATCTTGCCGTCTTCAGTGCAAAGATGCACGCGTCGGCTTTTTGTGTTTCATATGCCGTGCGACGAGAGGCTCTTCTAGCTGATAGGCAAGGGCTGCCCGCCCATCTCTTGGCCTACTACGCGGTACACATTGAGAAGTAGGTACTGTCACCGAAAGTTCTGATCTGAGACTCGGCAGTGGAAGATCAGAGAGAGAGAGAGAGAGAGAGAGAGAGAGAGAGAGAGAGAGAGAGAGAGAGAGACGTGTACACATGGAGTGGAGGTAGTCGATGGCGCATGACGTTCTGGGCCAGTCAGTGTGTGACGAATGAAGCAACGAGAGAAGAGGCGGTGAGTCGGCAACAAACATCACCTCCCTCACGCTTCCCTCTTCCCATCTACTCCCTCTCCTTACCTCTCTCCTTCCTATCTCCTCCCTCTCCTCCCTCTCCTCCCTCTCGTTCCTCTCGTTCCTGTTCTCTCTCTCCTCCCTCTGGCTTCCTGATCTCCCTCTCCTCCCTCGCCTCCCTTCTCTCGACCGAACTTAACCCTCGCTCATCATGAACGTATACAACACGCGTTCCGGTCCAAATACCGAGCATAGTCGCGTGTGTCCAGCACGAACGTAGTTGCTCTTCTTCCCTGAAGGATACTCCGACGGGAGGGGGGCTTTTAGCCTTTTACTACCACCTCCGCAATGCCCCTGAGGGATACGAATCGCTTTGCTTCTGTCTTCGGATGTCCCTACTCTATGTACCTACGCCTACGGGGTCCCTCCATTCGGTCGCTCCTCTCTTGGGCATAGAACTGCATAGTACTGCATAGTGCTGCATAGTATTTAGTTCACTATGTCATTGATTGTTCTGCAGAGTATGAAGTCCTTAAGCACCAGATCCCGGATAGCTCAGTGGCATCACGGGAAGACAGAGAGCTGGCCACTGCTGGCGCCATAGCCACAGCTTCTCCGTGTGTGGCGCTACTAGTATACTACGATTCCTGTACCATTCCGTTGAGATCCCCGGGGCACTAGATCGCTTCTCTTGAGCATAGTACTGCATAGTACTGCATAGTACTGCATAGTACTGCATAGTACTGCCTATTGCTGCATAGTACTTCTTAGTACTCAACGACGAGCAGCCGCACAGTTGAGCATCTTCAGGGAAAGAACCGGCGCCATAGCCACAGCTTCTCCGTGCGAGGCGCTACTAGTATACTACGATTCCTGTACCATCCCGTTGAGATCCCCCCGGGCAATAGATCGTTTCTCTTTAGCATAATACTGCATAGTACTGCAAAGTACTGCATAGTACGGCAAAGTACTGCATAGTACTGCAAAGTACTGCATAATACGGCAAAGTACTGCATAGTACTGCATAGTACTGCAGAGTACTGCCTATTCCTGCATAGTACTCAACGACGAGCCGCCGCACAGTTCAGCACCGTCAGGGAAGGAACCGGCGCCATAGCCACAGCTTCTCTGTGTGAGGCGCTACTAGTATACTACGATTCCTGTACCATTCCGTTGAGATTCCCCCGGGCAATACATCGTTTCTCCTGAGCAAAGTACTATGTAGTACTGCCTATTGCTGCATAGTACTTTTTAGTACTAAACGACGAGCCGCCGCACAGTTCAGCACCGTCAGGGAAGGAACCGGCGCCATGGCCACAGCTTCTCCGTGTGAGGCGCTACTAGTATACTACGATTCCTGTACCATTCCGTTGAGATCCCCCCGGGAAATAGATCGTTTCTCTTGAGCATAGTACTGCACAGTACTGCATAGTACTGTATAGTACTGCCTATTGCTGCATAGTACTTCTTAGTTGCCAGCTACAAGCCGCCGCACAGTTGAGCACCATCAGGGAAAGAGCCGGCGCCATAGCCACAGCGTCTCCGTGTGAGGCGGTACTACAATTCGTGTACCGCTATCTTGAGATCCCCCGGGGCACTAGATCGCTTCTCTTGAGCATAGTACTGCAAAGTACTGCGTAGTACTTTCCAGTACTATGAGCATAACACGCAGTTGTAAGCGACGATGAGCGTGAGAGATCAACATCCGCAGGGAGAGCATTGACGCCATAGCTAGAGTTTCAGACTCCGTTATGAGGCGTTGCTGCTGCAATCCGTGTACTATCACCACGTCCAGATCGCCCTGATCTGTCTTCGCCGCCAGCGTCGGTCCGGTAGATCGACCATCGACCAGATCGCTTCTCTTCAGCATAGTACTACTGCGTAGCAGGTACTCACTGACAGTTCTACGCAACGAATGGATGGAAAGAAAGCTCAGCACCGGGAGGGAGAGCAAGGAGGCCGCATAGTACTACTGCCGAGTAGGTAGGTACTCAGTTCTATCAACGAGTGGCTGCAGAGAAAGGTCAGCACAGGCAGGGAGAGCGTGGACGCCATAGCTAGAGCTTAAGAGCGTGGACGCCATAGCTGGAGCTTCTCCGTGTTGGGGCGGTGCTGCAATGCAATCCGTATACGACTGTCTTTCGATACCCCTACCCTACCTACCCTACCTACCCTACCTACCCTACCTACCCTACCTATCCTACCTACCCTCCACCATCCATCCGTCCACTGGATCGT